GCGGAACGATTATTAAACGCCGCGCAGTATGGACATGCGTCATCTTCATTAAAAAATCGTTTCAATCGATGCGGACGTGTGTTAACCGGGAGGGCAGTTGGCGGTGAATCACCGAGCTGCCCCATTAACGCAAGGTCGCATAAGTCGCCGCGAATTGAAATATTCGCGAACGATTGAAACAGTAATTTGGATCGTTGAGTGGATCACAGCCCTTTTTAATGAACCCTCTTGTAGAGTACACTGAGTGAATAACGATGGGGGATACTTTACTAGGTCTACACATTCATCGACACATTAAGTTATATTCAAAATAACATATAGTTAAGCAATAGTTTGCCCTTAAGCTTAAAATTATACCTGGATGTAACTTTCCTTAACATTAAAACTGTACCGGATAATTAAAGATTTAGGTTTACTCAAATATAATACTACTATGACTGTTTGAATAAAAAAAATATGCATAAAGTTTCACAAATTAAACAAGGTGTAAAGGATTCCCTTCTCACTAGTTAAAGTTCGAACGGATGATTCAAGCTAAAGTGATAGTCAAGCAGAGTTAATGTAAATGTAATATCATCTTCAGTAGCCTTCCTGTGACAATAAAGAAAAACGATATTCTCAAAATATTCAACACGCGATTGCCTAGGTGACGGAAGGGTCATAAAGTCACAAACGAGAGCGTCCAAAGGGCATAAGCATCAAAGGTCTAACTCGAGTTCTCCAAGAACCCACTGCAACCAATGCGGACTGCAGACTTGGCGACGGGACAGAGGAGTGTCGCAACCAGAGTGCACCGATGAATCAGAAAGGGCAAACGGGTTTCAAGGTCAAAGCGGTTCCGTCTGCGCCGCGCCACCAAATAACAATCGCCTCCGGTAAAAAGCGCCGGCCTTGGATGGAGACAATTTCCGCGACGCGGTAAAAGTGTTTTTTTATGTGGAAAGACGTCAAGCGAGCGGACGGTTCAGCTGATGTTAAATGAATACGTGCTGACGCGTTGACGACCTTGAAAAAAGTGGGCCCCGTCTACCTCACTCGCCAGACGAAACGCGAAAGTTTTATGCTTCCAGACTTCCAGGTAATTCCCTGAACGAGGGCCACGCAATAGGTTCTGCTGTTGCACGAATGGGCAGGCGTGTCCGGGGAGCCCTTCTATGGTGTCATCAATAAATCATTTGAATAAAAAAGCTAAAATAAAATGCCTGGCAGATATTAATTATGCCAAATCTCATAATATGTCATGTGCGAAAGTAAATGGTTAAAATGGAACGGAAATATTTTATTATAACAATGAGATAAGAGGACATTCGACGAACAAGAAAATTCTAAACGATAGCTCCACGTATGATGTCACATTACGACGCGACAAATCGAATAGATTTCACTGAATTACCTCGAGTACACGTGTTATTAAATACTGATAAGTTCGGTTGTAACTTCTAAGTGATAAGTGTTGCATTTCGTTTATAGTCTAATAAATTCTCAAGACTATGTTCAATTAATACCAATTCAAAGAAAAATATGAAAAAGTAGATTGTTTAATAAGAAATGTATCTATTTCTAGGCAGTACTTTAGTATTGGGTATGACAATTAGTCACACAACACTAAGGTTACCCAAATAATGCTTTAAGCAAATAAATATTGTTATTATTATATTAAAAAAAATATTTATAATTTCAATAGTAAACATTATTTTATAAAATTTAAACATGTAATATTAAATAAACTTAATTGCCACTTCAATCCAGAAAGCTCGTCTCAAATAAGTCCATAAGAGTCAGCGATAATTATCTTTAGATAAAATTATTTCAGAGACAAACTGGCTGGCAACTACCTATAAGGTAGCCGTCGTAAATAAATCGTTCCCGGTTTAGGCTCAAGGATAACTGCGACTGCGGGGGAAAAACTCGATCCAGGGCTAGTCAACGGAGCCGGTAAAGCCGGGGCGAAAAAATCTTCGAGCGAAATATCAAGTTCCCATCGCTAACTCACGCACACCTATCAGCCACCTCAAGAAAAGCTCGAAAACATATTCAGTAAGGTTTTTAAATTTTAACTTCTTATTATTAGGGGAAGAAAGGTTCTCGAGTGGCAGCCTCGTACTGGCCATCGCAGTGTGGGACGACCCCCCACTAGATGGAGTGACGACCTGTACAAATGTGCGGGAAGTCGATGGATGTAGGTGACTCAGGATCGTGCTTCATGGCAGTCTGTGGGGGAGGCCTATGTTCAGCAGTGGACTCAAACAGGCTGAAATGATGATGATGATTCTTAGCCACGTAGCTTATACATCGATTCGCAATAAAGCAAACAAAGACGATATAAAATAATAGAAAATTTATAATGGAAGAGTTTTCATTTAAATACTCACTCTCACCGTAGACGTGTGCAAGAACCGGTCCGTCGAGATGGATTTCGGATAACAGTTGTTTAACTCGAGTTCAGCATAACATAGTTGAGTGGAAGAATCCAAAAGGAAGGAGAAATGATTTCTCAAGGTCTTTCGAGTTCGTACAGGTATGGTGCCGAAAATATTACGACAAATTGCCGTAAGATAATAGAACAGATTATAAGAGTTGGAAGACGCATTCATATTATGTCGTAAATTAGTCTCGAGACAATTACAACAGGTTCACTCGAGAAAGTGGAGAGGAATCTGCATAGCACAATGGCGTCACAAAAAGATTCCTCTAATGCAATTGACGCAAAAACAAACAAGCGAATGTGAGTGGTTAGCGTAATCGATACAAGGAAGCGGCGAGCGCGGAATGATTTGTTTGAACAACAGTTAGGTTGGGCGGTCCACGTTCGTGGCCTAGTCGCGGTTAAAAATTCAACGGGTGGTGTTAAACGTAGTTAATAACGTCGAGAAATATCGCGTCCGCCGCAGAAGGTTTCGCACGAAGGCGTCGTGACATTTTTTTAGGTCCGCAACAAATCAACAAAGTTGATGATATTCCAACTCGAAACTTCAATAACCACCACCTTATTAAATGAGCAAAGGAAAGTGAGAATGTCACGGGAGTAATGTTGTAGGACAAACCGCTCGAGGCAATAACGTGTGCTCCATCAAAACCTAACCAGCTTTTTGGCAATGGATGCTTTTATATTGTTCACATTAAGTAGGTTGGACGGAATTATCTGTTCTTGATTACTTTATGTAGTTTTGGAAGTTCTAAACATGATAAGACTATCTATCATATCTTATTCTAATATGACATGTTGACGGTTTAAAAACAAAATTCCGTAAAAACTGGTATCATAATTTAGATTACGCTCTGAGCACATTCCATTAAACAAGTTTGTTTACTCAATGCATATAGAAAGCTTTTTGTTATGCACAGCTCGCGATATGCAAACCATATATTAATAGAATGTGTATAAAACGAAACTTCTAGAATAATTAGAAGAAGAGTCCATGACAGTTATTGTTAAATAGTCAATTTTCATGCCCTACGTTTTTACTAGACAAGGGTATACTCGGCCATATGGGCCAATTGTTAGGGTTTCGTACCAAAAAGCTAAAACGGGACCCTATTGCTGTCTGTCTGCCCGTCTGTCACCAGGCTGTATCTCATGAACCGTGATAGACAGTTGAAATTTTCACAGATGATCTATTTCCGTTGCCGTTACAAAAACGAGTAATAACAAGCAGAATTAAAGAAAAATATTTAATTGGGGCTCCCATACAACGGGCATGATTTTTTTGCCGTTTTCATAGATGAAGAATGGTACGGGACTCGCACCTGTTTTTAATTCTTGCAAGACAGTTGATTTGGAGCGACGTATTGGTTGAAGGAAGAGGGCGTAAATAAAGAGCATAAAACCTATGCAATTAATTGTTCGTACGAAGCACGGTGGCGATTCGCGTCGCGACGGAATTCCGGAATGGCTTTCGTGGCATCTGCCGAAATCGAGAGTGTTGCCACTTTCACCTGTGGGTACACTATACTATCGCCGACGGTGCGGCCTCTAAAGTAGCGTAGATCGATTTCACGCCCAAAGCAAACGTCGATGGCTCCAGTTATGGTCGATTATATTACGACTTGTGTCCCCAAGAACAATGGAGACTAGTTGCTTTACTACTCGGCTAGCGAAACGGGTCGAATAAGCAACCAAGTTGTGTAGCGGTAAAAAGGTTGTTTCTGAGCCCGGAAGTACTTTGAATTAGATTTCATGTTTACAACACCGTGATCGAGGAGGCTTTTCTTAAAAAAATATGTTCTAATTACTCAAATAACGCTTTATCACGGCAGAATAATTACTTGATAACTGATCTCTTAATTACTTGCGAATTTATCGCTTCGGAAGTCTAGTGTGAACTCTCGCGCTATTAACCCGTGACAGCACACAAAGAAACAGGTAATGTAATCTAATATTCAGCGTGTCAAATCGACAAGTGTGTCGCTTTGAAACCGATAAGCAATTTCGACAAGTTGCCACAAACCAAGACCGGCAGCGGAAAACTGTTTCTCGCCCGCATCAATTATGTCATATATTTTACAATAAAGAGATTTCTACTCTCGCCCGCATCACATGTTTACTCGTGCGTTTCCCCCGGCGGGTCCGGTACGGCACGAGTCACAATGGATACGGACGCAATGCAGGCGCGTGTCGCAACGCGGAGAGACACACTCAACGCGGTTACGTGTCGCCCGCGCAACGCGTTTGGTAATGTCAATGTCAGAGGCACTTGTTCCGATACGGAAGAGATGTGCTGTCGCAATGCTCGACGTAGAGTGCCGTTTGTACGTGATCGATTCGCATGTACAGTAGCGGTGAGCGTAATGTGACGGCGCATTAGTGATAGGCGTCAAGTTATCGGCAAAGGTATCATGTGTCACATTATAGTGTCGTAGTAATGAGTAAAACGTGATTCGAGGGCTGCGTGCTGTAATCGGACGAAACTAGATCTTATCTCTACGCCGTAAGGAGCGTTATCGTTGAAACATGGATCGTATACTGTGCTTGCGCAAACGAAACGGAGCGTGACACTCACCTTGATCCTGTTCCTTCGGCTGGTGCGCAGAATGATGCCGTCGTTCTCGATGTAGTCGGGCACCTCCTTGCGGTTGGAGAAGTTGAAAACCACCGAGGTGGCGGCGGGCGCCGGGGGGCGCGGCTTCCTCGTCCAGGGCACCGTCTTCGCGGGCTCCGGCTCGCCCTTCGCCCCCGTCCCCGCCCCCGCCGCCGGCTCCGCGCCCCTCCTCGGGCCGGCGCCGGTCCAGGCGCGCTCGATGCCCGCCGCGCCGATGCGCGATGCGGCGGCGCGCGCCCTCGGCTCCGGGTGCCCGTCGAGCGTCGCCTTCGGGGGCGCCTCGGGCTTCGGCTCCGCGGGCTCGGGGGTGCGCTCGCGGGGCGAGGGGGCGCGCGGCATCGGCTCCACGACCGCCGAGGGCGGCTCCCGCTTATCGGGCCGCGGCGGCTCCGACTCCGGCGGGGGCGGCGGCGGCGGCGAGTCGCCTCGCGAATCCTCGGCGGGTTTCTCGGCGCAGTCGTCGGGCGGGGAGGGCGCGGGGCAGTCGGGGGGCGGCGCGGGCGGCATCGGCCGAATGACGCCGACGCGGCGCGGCGCGCTCCAGAGGCGGGCGCGGCCCAGCAGCACCGGGTTGGCGGCGGCCACGGCGGGCAGGTGCGAGCCGCTCCTCGGCGCCTCGAACGCGTAGCGCACGGAGGAGCCGGCGCGCGCGATGCCCTCGAGCGCGGCGCGCGACACCGGCCTGGCGCAGGGCGCGGAGGGCGCGGAGATGGTGCCGCCCTCGGGCTCGTCGATGGCCGACAGGTCGGCGGCGGCGGGGCTGGGCGAGCGCGCGCGCGGCTCGGGCGTGGAGCAGCGCGGGCCGCCCTCGAGGCCGCGCAAAGCACGGCGCACACGCGGGCGGCGGGCGCGGCGCGGCGCGCCGGCGCCGCCGCCTCGAACTTGCGCAGCGCGGCGCGCACCACGTCGGGCGGCGGCCGCTCGGCGTCGCGCAGCAGCGGCGCGGGGGCGGCGGGGCGGGCGCGCGCGCGCGGCGCCGCGTCCGGCTCGTCGAGGCGGCTGAGCGCGTCCACGGAGCGCGCGCGCTTGACGGAGTCGCGGCGCGCGGGCGCGGGCGGGCGCGGCGAGCGCGCGGTGCGCGGCGCCCAGCGAGGCGGGGCGCGCGGGGCCGCGGCGCCGCCTCGAGAGGTAGCGCGACTTGAGGCGCTTCACGATGCCGGGCCCGTAGCGCAGCTCCTCGTCGTCGGCGGGCGGCGGGGGCGGCGGGGGCGCGGGCGGCGCGGGGGGCGGGCCCGGCCGAGGCCGCGACGCGCGCCGCTGCAGCAGCTCGCGCTTCCATTGCGGCAGGGAGCCGTTCGACATGCCTGCCGCGAGCGTCGTACCAAAACGTTATGACGTTTTTGCAACATCTCTATGGTTTCTCCTACATATTTTGTCTTATGGGCATAGGTAACACGGTCGGACGGAGATAGCTGGACTACGAAAGTGGGCTGTGTATATTGTGTGGATCTGAGTAATTTATTTACCTAATAAATAATTATATTGGTGTGATTTCAACTTATGATTGCTTCAAACATGAATATTATATTTCAAGATATAACGAGTTAAAGTTAAAATTATAAAGTTAAGATCAGATGGCTAAACTTAATTTCATCTTCACTGACCAGCAAAAGCTCAATAAAATGTTAATTTGCATTATTTCAAATTTAGCCAGCTTCAATATACATTAACCGAAACAATATATTATATTTAGTCATCATATATTCAAAAGTATGTGTAATAATGATGGTTATTTGTTCAATAAAAGTTTTCTTCACTTGAGTAAATAATTTTCTATTGCTTCCTCTTTTATCGTATTCTACATTTTCGGCCAAAGGCTATGGTTAAACTTTAGTTCAGCCAGCCAAAGATAGAAGAAACTAATAATAACAAATCCTAGACCTAGTCCACCTTTACCGGTAACATTATATATAGTAATCAACAGCAACTACTCAACACAATAATATTATTGTGTAATAAGTATATGTTGCAGAAATATTACAAATGAATAAGAACACATACAAATAGATTTTGATTTTAAAACAGTTTCATCATTTATTTTTTATTTATTAACTAAATTAAACTTTATGTCCAGGTAGACTTAAGGGTGGTGTAAAAAACAGTGAACAGAATGTATGAAACAATAGAAAGAAAATACTTTACAAAATAAAACACAATGTACAATAACAATCAATATTATATAAAACATGTACAATGAATATTAACAAGGAACTGATTCTGCTCACAGTTGTTTATGCATACAACCTTTGCTTTTAAAAGAATAACAACCCTTGGCCATCCTCATTTGGAGACATAGCGCATTCCATCTCTACCAGGATGAACTGAACAAAGAAAGATGATGAGGTTATAGTAAGTCTACTATGGGTTGATCGCAGACTGTTTGTATATCAAGCTCCCATTAAATAGGAATTCTTGATTAATAAAAATCTTCGATATGAATGAACTATGTATTTGTCATTGGTTCATAACAATTAACATACATTTTATTATTTTTAGAAGACATTGAAAGAAATAATATGATAAATAAGATGGGTAGAATTAAAAAAAAAAGAAAGAGTGGATAGTGCTCTTAAAAAACACATAATAAAAAATGCAGCTGAGAGGGTGAAGTGACATGTGATTCATAAGTCCAACAAATTTTTTGAGTTGATCTGCATGCAGGTCAAAGCAGCACATGTCACCATAGTCCAATATAATTTTGAACAAAAAAAAATCCCGATTTCAAACATAAAACTAAAAAAACATTGTCAACGCCTATAACATTTGAGGATTGCCCTCAATTTCTCTGGGATGCCATCATCAGATCCGGGTTTCCTTATCATGGTACCACCCTTGGGATATCTCCTTTCCAACAAAAAAGAATCATCAAAATCGATCCATAAATGACAAAGTTATCCCTGAACAAAAAAAATTAAAATATCTATGGTCGAATTGAGAAACCTCCTTTTTTGAAGTCGGTTAAAAAGGAAATCCAAGGCCTGCACAAACATTGTTTTTAATTGTAGCGAAGATAAAATATAGGTTTTCAATCTTTGGCTGATACAGATGACACAGTTGTTTTAAACTGTTTTTGGAAGATTCCGTGTCCAATAGTACTGTTTATGATATAAAACTAATGTTTATGTTATAAACATATTTTATGTATATAAAAGATTTAGGGCTTTCGACCAAACAAGGACCATAACTTCTAATGAAATGAAAAGTTTTAGAATGCAGTTCATTAAACTTAACATGTTTTGTGGTGGTGATAACCATATTGTTTTGTCAAAAGGGTCAGAACCATACGTAATTATTTGCCTTGAACGACTAAGCTTAAAGGAAAATCTGTAGGTTTCACTTTAAATTGAGTACAATCCATTAAAGAATGAGCCACAGGAAAACATCCACATTTATATACATATAGAGGCAATAATTAATAAGGGTTAAAAGCAGATGCATTAAAAGTTATTTGTGTGGGTTACACAACTTTAACTATTAAAGTTTCCCAAATTCAAATTTAAACATATTCAATATTTCAATTTAACATATTTACGAAGTGAAGGAAGTATTATAAATTGTCTTAAACTAAATTCATTAAAGACCTAATTATTTAATGGAAGTTGATGTAATAGGTGATTAAGCACTATCAAATTATGTGTTTTAATTAATACAACTGTTTTAAATTAAAATACAAAGTAACAAAACAATTTTAAGGGGGTGCCTAATAATATCAATCAATTACAAAGATAATATTTAATTGAGTCACAGCATAAATGATAACAAATATATAGTGGCTACTTATCTAAGTTGACCTCAGCGCTGAGCGCCCACATGCTTTATATCAATTATTCCAGTAACACTAGGAAAATAACTTTATGACAACCAATTTATTGTCAGTTACTACATAATTTATTTAAACAATGAACGTTTAACAATCAGTGTAGTTGTACAAATTGGTATCATGACCTTTGGAGATATACTATAATACATTATACCTCAAACAATATTTAAATATTGTAAAGGAAAGATAAACAAATAGGAGAGTTAAAAATTAATTTTATTGCATTTATGAATGATGGAATAAAATGAGATAAAATCCATGAAATAGTTTGTCAAATATCAAAGAGTGATAAATTTTTAGTTTATGACTTTCAATTCTATTGACATGACAGATGAAGAAAACACTGTTCTTACTATATGCTATAATATAGTTCAAAGAGAAGTACATATGGGGACTAATATATATAAATAAACTAATACATAAACAAATTTGCGAAGCTGACACCACTTACCAAAGTCCTGAGAGGACTCTAGGATAGTCTCCACCATCATCTTGACGAGGCTGGCTCGCAGGTAAGCAACTACAGTAACAATGGCAAAAAAATAACATTAAGCCTTCAGTAAAGCGTAAACTCAAAGGTAACAAAACAATCTTGCAATTTTATTGCTAATAGCAAGCCAATGTGAATGACAATAAAATATTTAGAATTGTTGATAAACTGTTGGTGAAGTTGCTATCAAACTAAATAAAAAAAAAATGATAAGGTAATGTTTAGGATATGATAACTAGTTACTACTGAACCAGCTTATTAGTCATTCACATATATATATATGATAGCTATATAATAGCGATTAGCATTATTAGTCATTCACATATTCTGTACATGAAGGACTAATATAAATGCTGATCTACAAAAATAACCACTTAATAAAAATAACATTTAGCTATTTTGGTTTGTACATTTTTAACATATTATATCTATGCATTATGTTATAAATTTTCATCATTCAACTGTTACAAAAATGATTAAATAATCACTAGATATTATAATTTATATTTATGATACCTGAGTGTTCTGTTTTTGCTTATATATGATGAAATGTCCGAATAATTAAAACATTAATGTAAAATAAAATAAATATAATCATTTAATACAAACATGAAAAGTAATAAAGATAAGGAACATATTTAGTGTCGTGTCGATATTCCAAACATATACTTGTATCAATACCTTATTTTATGCCATCTAAGTAAATAATTAATCTCCAATAAGAAAAACTTTGTTTGGATTAACATGAGTCTAAATAATAGATGGATTGTGATTTACACGGTGCGTGGATGAACCCGCATCACCCCGTCTAAGCTTCATCTAACTGTATCCACGGGCTCTAATTTAATTCAAGATTTGAAAACAAATAGCCCGTGGCCTATGGCCCAACGCCGCCCGCCACGCTCGATCAAAAACAATAGCCGCCATCGTTTACCGGCGCATTCCAATCCGCCATGCCTTGCATATCTCGATAATAACTTACCTACTAAAAGTCCATCGAAGCCTTTCAATATTATTAAATAGATTTATTTCGTCCGGTTACCACCTTAACAAAATGCCATCGAAGCGTGAAAACGAAAGTTTTATCACTCGCACTAGTTACAGCCTCATTTCAGAAATCACCCTGGATACGACACCCGTGGGCGGTCGATCGCCTTACAGAGATTTAATGACACATATCACATATTCAGTCCCGCTAACTATCCTTATAAAACACTCGATACTTCATCAGTTCATGAACTTTTAAAACAGAGTAATTTTAAAATTGACGATTTCAATCCCGTGGAGTAAAACACAACCGTTACATAGAGCAAATTAAATGACACTAATTTATTTATTTATGTTACGTTACGTCTCGGGCTAGACGACGAGTAGAGATGGATTTATGTTAATATGACGGATGTAGTTTAACTGAATAAAATATAGTTATAAAAAATCTTTTCATAGGTTTTGGTAAATATAAGTTTTGTACATAGTATTTTATTATATGATTTTTTATTATTATTGGAGTTAATCACGAAGTATTAATGTGCAAGTATTCATTTTTTTATATGGCAAACTTAATGTTGGCAGTACAATGATCCGATATTACCAACAAAATCAATTTTTTTTTTTTTGAAATACCAGAATTGTGTTTATTTGATTTTGAAAAACATTTAAAGTCTTAAATGGCCACAATACATACATTATTACACCGCTATTATTATACAATATTTTAGGCCATTCAAAATTCGAAAGATATAATTTATGAAGAGAAGATGACATAGATGGCGCTTATATTATTCTACTGTAGCAGTGGTGTGTTCACATTTATCTAGATGGCGTTGTTCTTTTTATTTTTAGGTGTTCCGTTATTGCATAGGTATGTGAAAAGATTACTTCTTACTTCACCTATAAGACCCCAAAATATTTTTTTTTCTAAGTTTTGGGATTTTTAAAACCATTGGTTCGTGATTCGTCGTTATAAATAATTGCTTGTTAGAAGGATTGAAAGTAAGCTCAAAACGATTGGTATTGTATCATTATGATCATTCTCAATCTTATTTTAACCGACTTCAAAAAAGGAGCAGGTTTTCAATTCGACTGTATTTTTTTATGTTTGTTACATCATAACTTTTGATTTAGTGAACCGATTTTGATGATCTTTTTTTTATTTAATAGCTGGCAGGAATATGGGACCACATGGGAAGTACTTCCGATGTGGTCCTATATTATTAATAATATTTCATTGGTATTGGGTCTTGGGTTCCGGAGATACTTAGGGAACTCCTGAAAATCAATTATAAAATGAACACAGAGTGAGATTTGAAGTCGGTTTTGTTTTTCATTCTCAGAACATTCGATTTTGATGATTCTTTTTTATTTGAAAGCTGTTGACTTTGGTTAGGTTCAGCTTCTGATTATGGGATTGACGAAAAAGTAACGGAACTCTTTAATTCTTAGGAGCAAATTACCGATATTCGGCCGAATCTTTAATAGGCTATCCGGATATTTGAGTCAGTCACTGTAAGGGTTTTATGGTCAAGTTATTATCGTAGTCGACTATGATGATTATAGAACTCTTTAACGGCTTACAGTAAGGGTGTGAACCGTTTTCTCGGAGACGAAGAGCGTTTTTGCTAGGTCAACCCACATTTTATAATACCTAAGTATTAAAATTAAAACACTAAAAATAAAAAGCTTTTTTACAAAAAAAGAACCGACTTCAAAAACCTCTATTCGCAATAATTTTTTTTAAATCTTTAATCAAATCTTGAAAAGGTAACCTATATAACCTTACCTCTAACAATATTTAACAATTTTTGGAGTCGGTGACATTGTTCACCATGGGTTATGGTTGTACACCTTGCTAAAAAATAGTAAGAAGCTGAGCCACAATGAATACTGAGGTTATCCAATAAATAGGTTAAAAGATAATTATCGGTATTTAATTACATATCTTATTGACCTAAATTGAGTCACAAAGTTATGAGAATGATTTTATGCTTATATTCGATATATTAGGCTTGGCACCGACTCCATAAATAATTGTTAAAATTTTTTAGATTATATATGTGATTAGGTTATATAGGGTACATTTTAAAGATTTGATTAAATTAAATTTAGTATTATTGTAATAGGTTTTTTATCAAGTGATATTTGAATAAAAAAACATCAAGTTTCTTTTTGGTAAGGCTTTACACCTTACACCTATAATTCCATTTATATCGTGGGGAGCAACTATGGAGTATCCGTTTATTACTTTGAGATCATGTGTTTCAAAAATTGTTTTAATTCAAATTCCCTATTAATTTATTGTAAGAAAAAAAATTAATACTTGTTTTTTTTAAATAAAATTAATTTTATACTAATACTTTTATCGAATACATAAATTCTTAACCAGTTTCTTATTTTCATATTATTAGTGATAGGTATTTAAGTGATAAGGAACGTGGAAACTGGAAATCATAATAAATGTAGTGATTACACTCTCTTTGCTGGAAATATTATACTTGTTGGATTTCAACATACCCTAATGCGCATTCCGGAATTTGGGACGTTGTCTATTTCGAGGAAGGCGTTTGTTAATTTTGTTAAAGTTACCCCTTGAGGAAGAAATTACATTGCTGCATGGGCGCTCGTTTCGACTGTTGTTCAGAATTAATCCAAATTATTTTATATTATGATAAGTGAAAACAAAATATTTTACATTATATGTGCATAGTGTAAAAATGATAAATAATATAAAAAATGATAAGAAACATTTTAAAATATTATTATTTACAGTCAAAAGAAAACAATCATACAGTACAATAATACAGTCAAAAAGAACTTTAAAATATTATTTGCCTTAAATTATTATTTTCCATTTGCCTTAAACTTACTATTTTAAAGAACTATGAACGTGAACTGCCATTTCGGATAATGAAACGGATATTTTATAAAGTCATATTAAAACACAAATATTACAAAATTTTCAGTAAGCTAAAGTTATTAAAGCTACATCCAAATTTTTTAATAAATACCTACCGACTGATATACCCAACATTGCTGTATCTGGGTAGCACGAGAGTCTGGTCGCAATTAGAATATGTAGCTATCTACAGCTTCGTGCATAAGATTTTTACCACTTTTTTCAATCAATTTGTAAGTGGGGTCTAGACTCACTTACAAATTTATTGAAAAAAGTTAATAGTGTTTGTTTTAGCAACTCTTATTATCGAGTTGCTAAAACAAACACTATTAATGGAATATAGGAGATAAAATAGTGAAAGCAGCATTCACAGTTTATGTGATTATAATTAAATTAATATTCATAAATGACATTGAAGTAGGAGACCATAATTTAACCTTTACAACCTTAACGAGTTGACTAAATCTTAACGGGGATATAACGAGAGGCAAAAAAGAGCCGAGCGCGTGGGCTTTGTAAAGAAATTTTAACTAAACTGTAACTGTACCCCTAACAAACTCCTTCACATTAATATTCCAAAGCGAGCACGATGGCGAATAACCTTCGTCATTTTAATTTGACAATTTCGGATTTGGTTTAATTAAAATTAAACGAAAAGCAGTCGCGAAAGAGGACGTTTTTGATGCCTTCGAATATAAGAGAGCCGTCATCGGCACACCGCTCGGATTGATTGAAAATTTTTAAAATTTGTCCTATGGCTGTTCGAGGCATTAATCTATAAAGTGAACTTTTTGAGACATTAATTATTTTACGAACCATTTAGGCTATTAGTTAATCAATTCGTGTACTTGTAATAATAACAAGTACACGAATTAAATGTTTACAAAACTGGCGTCTCTTTATTTATCACGTTTTTTAACAGGCCTCTCTTAATTTCACATTTTGCCAGAGGACTTCTAGTCATTAATTAAAATCATTTGGGTTATTGGTTCACGTGTGGCAGGAATTCTTTACAGCCTATTTAAAACTAACCGTAATTAAGAATTTTGTCTTCATGATTAATAATGTTGAAACAAAAGGAGAAATGTTTAAATATTTTGATTGCCCCTTGGTGAGGTTGGAACAACATGTTAATCATTATCTTAAATTATATAATCTTATGAATAGTTAAAATTACAGACTCATAATTCTTATAAAATACAAAATAATTAAAAGACTTTAACACATAAAACTTTGTCACATAAAAAAAAGAAAAAAGTTATTCGAGCTTTAAATGAAACGAAACGGAATAAAGGAAAGAATGAATAAAAACTATTTGGCGTCTTCGAAATTTTCGCACGGTACCGTGAAGTCATCCGATGTTAATAAAATAAAATAATAATAATTTGTTCCGTACCCGAACCATATTAAATAATTTATTTCATTTTTCGATATGGTTATTTACATTTAAATTGCGAGTGGCAACAGTTAATTGATAGGATTTTTTATATTTTTTGGTCTGGTAACAATCCTTTTCAACGCTGAAAACCGCGCTTGCCTCTGATTGGCCGAGCGATTAGTATACTTGCGCTCCGTACCTACGCCGAAACGTTAAGAACTTTGTGCTTTTGAAAAATATCGTGTGTCTCGTCATTACGACGAGTACGAACAATACCCGAAGAATACTGTGCCTGAGTGACTTGTGGAAGTACTATTCGGAGAGACACGGTATCCTTTCGAGAAACTGAATCTGCCAACCAGTTCTGCGAGCCCCAGTAGCGTGAGGCAGTGGAAGGCGGAGATCGGTGAGTTACCAGATCCAGCTCTTTCCTGAACAATGTGACAATTTCTTGTATTTACGCGATTACACATTATTAAATTAAACTATATTTACAGATTTATTGCGTTTATTTTTAAGTTTTATTTCCCGACGTTTCGAACTCTTTACATGGTTCATGGTCACGGGACATACTGAGGCGTTAGCGGTTAGATGTCTGAATGTTGACCTGGGCTACTGTAATTTTTTACCATCTGTCAAGTGCAATATCCTTCTGCAAGGTCCAGGAGTGTACAAGCTTGACTGAATGTGGGCTCTCTTGTATACCCGCGTGAAGGAACATAAACATAACAAAAATGATATAAAACATAATATTTTAAACAAGTCTGCAGTCTATGAGCACACCCTAAATCTCACCAACAATTATATCAGGTTTAATAGACCGTCGCAAAAGAACACCGATTTTTCCCAAGGTTGCTTCGGTTATTGTTCCTACTTTCAATAGGGAAGACGGTTGGGTGCTACCATCAGCTTGGGATCCTATTATCAATAAAATGAAAGCTAGGCCCAAACGAACAACTACTTAAAGACAAGATAAAATTAGCTCATTCTGCGTAGATCGAACGCAAAGTTAATAATTTAATAATTGACAGTAGCCCAGGTTAACTTTGACATGCAGGCGTCCAACGCCTTAGTCCATAGATAAGACATATATACCTATACTGAAATGCCTCAGTCTGTCTAGTGATCATGAACGGGGCAAACGGTAAGAAACATCGGGAAATAAAATTCAAAAATAAACGCGATAAATCCGTAAATATAGTTTAATTTAAAAACAAGATAATATAATAAAACTTTTATTTAAATAAATAGATTACACTTTATCACAATTATATTAAATTAACACTGTCAATAGATGACATTATTCTAAATTCTTTAGATGAGATTTTGACACGAAAGTTTTGGATGAAAACATTAATAATATTAGTTAATAATTATAGATAATATTTAGAAACAAAATATTGTTTTCTGATTAAAAATCTAAAACAGAATACGGCTTAGCGTGTTATGTTTTGTCTTCAAAAATCAAAATGCAGATGATGAATGCAGTATACAAGCAGCCTCCGTGGCAAGCAGAGTTACTGCAGAGAATCTAATTACATTCGTATTTGGATTGCCATTTGACGAACCAACCAACAAACTAAGCAGATAATTTATATTCTTTATAAAATTGATATTTGATGATTGATATACGAAATTTTATAACGTTTTATTAAAAGAGTGTATTTTGAAACGACCTTTGATTTCCAGCATAGATAAGTAAACTACCTGCCCGGCCCGGCTTCATTTTTTTTTAAACATTGCCCCCCTTACATTAGAATAACATGCTGTGTTGTAAGAACGTTTTACAAACATAAATTTCACGCGGACTAACACCCAAATCCGTAACAACTATCTACAAATAAACCTTCTGCTTGAATTAAGTACTCCATCTTTTGCTGAAAACCGCGTTAAAATCCGTTGCGTAGTTTAAAAGATCTACAGTTCGTTAAATGTACGATGATACGCGGGAAATTGACATGACTAAACTAAAGTGACATAACGAAATAAAGTACCACATTGTGTTACGTACATTTTTTGTTTAAAAAATACGGAAACTTCATATACGAGATCCATATTTGTACGTCAATGTCAATGTCCCCCGTATCAACCTATATTTAATAAACTGTAAGCGTGCAAACAACGGGAGCGACTTTGTTTTATACTATGTAAAAATTGAATATATACTTATTTATTATAATTGATCTTTAAACACAAGTACTCCAGTTTTAAATAGATTAAGTTGAGGTTCATATATATTATTGTTATCCTTACATTACATTCTGTTATAAATGAAACTATATTTTTTTTTATTAAGCAAGAGAAAGAATTAGCGAAGGTGTGATATTTTGTTGTAAAATCGAATAGCTTATAAAAATTAAGTAAACAAACATTTCACCATATTATGCAAAGTAAGTACTTTTCGGTTATGTGTAAAAATGTTTCAAATTATTTCGTTTCAAATATAGTTTTTCGGAAAGCATCTCGGTACTTATATAAATCAAATTTGACTCCAGAGTCCAGTTACATAAAATGTTTCTAAAAACGACATATATAAGCCACATAGCATAAAAAATTAAAAAAAAAATATTAAGGGCATGGCCTGAAATCATTGTAAGGTTCAAAAGAAAAGCTTTTTGGTAAATATTAGGCACAACATTTAAACGTTGACAAACAATATTGAAGTTGTGTTTTAATAAGATTTATTTCAATGTGTGTTTGTCTTTTTCTTATTTTACGTTAAGAGTTGACGGGGCCAAGATTGATATTACAGGTAACGGTATTAAGGCACACATAAAACTTTAAATTATGAACTTTATTAGATAAATGAACAAAAACTTGCACGACTGCGGGATTGCGCCTAGACACTTTATCAACTAAGCAAAGCGGCCGATAATCGCATGGCCGTTCTTTTTGTTTCATTTTTAGCAATGCTCAAATGAGTTATTAGTTACATGAGTATTTAGTTAGTATTATATGACGTGAATTGGATGTTAGCTTTCTCTATCGTCTGTAAGACAGCAGACTGCAAATGTTTGTCACAAAGGCTAGCCATGAAAATGTTGTTTACAGCCCCCAGTAATATTTTAGCATCTAACGCATACGTATTTTGTTAGGTGACGTCTGATTATCAAAAAAGTAGCTTTGAAAAGTTGTTGTTTGACTTTATAATAAATTTGATTTCCTTTAATAGCAGCGACTTTTCATAGGAAATTTTCTATGTAAAGTCTAAGTGAAAAAAAAGTGAAAAGTGTCTATAAATTTGAGACTGGATGCAGTAACTTTAGCAATATACTTTGTTAGGGGAAAGTAATTTGTGAAACAAAAAATCCTGTCAACTTCGCAGAGCAAATTTCGAAGACAACAAATTGCCCCTGTCAGTAACAGGAAATGGCCGGCGAAATTCGAGAGCGTTAATTGTAGCCTATTTGAAAGAATTTATTTTATTGCGAATTTTGTGACCTTTACAAACAGACTTTATTTCTTTTTTTAAAATTTAAATTGCACTATGTTGTCAGTGAGCCGTGATAGCTCAGTGTCCGGGCGCTCCCCTTTAATTCAATGTACTCGAGCAACCTGCGAGCTTCGCGTAGTTTGCGTTTTTGTAAGAATTTTTTTACTTAATGAGATAATAATAAATTACGAGATGAGTGGCTCGTTGAATAGCATGCATAATTTGGTTTTGTGACGTAATAATTGCAATAAAGGTGTGCCGTAAAAGATATTTAGCGTGAAATGAACCTTAATTCGATTCTTTAGAGACGCCTCATAAATTATT